GACCACCCTCTCCCTCCAGATCCGGTGAACTAGGGCCCGTATGCTGTCCCATCGGTCCTGTGACAGATAGACCGTGCAATTGTTCATATCTATGACTGCCCCTAGATGCAGGAGACGGGTTGAGGGCACTGTATGACTTTTCTGAAAGTTGACAGAAAACCCGTGCTCCTGAAAGGTCCTGATGGTGAGGGCAAGATCTGACTGAGCTAGCTGGAGGGAGGGGGACTGTATCAGTATGTCGTCCAGATAGCACTGAACTCTTTTCGGGATCTGTCTCAGGTGGGCAGCTAGCACTGTCAATATCTTTGTAAACACCCTGGGCGCTGAGGAAGACCGAATGTAAGGGCCCTGTGTTGATAGTGCTGGTGGGCATAACAAAATCTGAGAAATTTGCGATGCCCCGGGAGAATAGGAATGTGTAAGTATGCCTCTATTAGGTCTATTGATGTCAGGAAGTCCCCTTTTCTGATGCTGGCTAGGATCGATTGTAGCGACTGCATCTTGAACTTCCTATACATGAGATAGTAATTTAGACCCTTTAAATCTAAAATTGCCCTCCAGCCCCCCGAAGACTTCGGAACGACAAAAAGAGTGGAGTAAAACCCCCGTCCCTTCTGGTCTTCCGGTACTGGTTCTATCTTCCGTATCTGTATAAGATGGCCTCTGACATGAGGTCCGCTCTGTTCTTGTTTGTGGGGGTGGGGCAAGACCGAAAATGTTCCGGTGGACTGGACCAAAATTCCAGCATTAGACCTTGAGCTATGGTGTTCAACACCCATGAGTCGTGGTGGTGGCTGCCCATACGTCAGAGTAAAGGGACAGTCGACCGCCTATGGGCGGAGTGCCCTTGGAGTCACTTAACTCATTTGAAAGGGCATCCTCCTGAGCCTCAAAAGGGCCGTTTGGACTGGAATTGTGGCCTTGGTCTGGATGCGGGACGGTCCTGTTAGCACTCCGACCTTTGGTAGAAAGGGTGAGAGGTCTGGGGCCAGTCCCAGTTTGAGGCTGCCTGAAAGGACTGCCTGTGATAATAATTTTGTGAAGCCCCGCCCCCCTGGTCGCTTGTCCCCCTTCTTACTGGTGTTTATAAGAGTCTTGCATTTGCCCTTGCCCTCCACCAAGTAAGGGTTGAGGGTTTTGCCATAGAGATGTCCCCCAGTGTAAGGCTTAGTAGCCAGGCGCCACTTAGCCTTTAGGTCCACCCGCCAGTTCTTGAGCCACAAAAGTCTACGAGCTGAAATGTCTGCTGCTATCCCTCGCGAAGAGTATCTTGCGGCATGGAGGGAGACTTCAGCCATATACTGGGATGTGGCCACCAACTTACCCAGGTTCTGATGAACACAAACCTGGTTGGGAGGGATCATATCCTGGAGTTCACAGAGCCACAAGATGGAGGCCCGAGCGAAGAAGGCCATGGATGTAGAGGCCTTGATTGCCCAAGCTGAAGCCTGATGTGATGGTGTGGGGTTCCTGCCTGAGCAGGGGGTTGGACTTTATTATTATTATTATTATTATTATTATTATTATTATTATTATTATTATTATTATTATTATTATTATTATTATCTGCGCAAGGCAGCTTCAAACTTTTTGTCCTCTGCCTTGAGTGCTTCAGCATGTCCCCTGGAATATTAGAGTTGGAAAAAAGAGAGTTTAGTGGTTTGTCAATCAGAGGGACCTCCAGCAAAGAGGCAAAAGAGGGGGCCACATTAAATAAGTTTTTTTCTGAAGTCCCCAGATTGGGGATAGACCCCAGATTTCCCCACTGCTTCTGCACTGTGTTGCGGAAGAAGAGGGGATAGGGAACATATTTTTGTGGTACCACCGGTTCAGCATAAAGAGGATTGGAGTCCTTGGATGTTGAAGGCTTTGGCTGGGCCTCCTGCTCCGGGGTGATGTTGGCTGCAGTGCAAGCCTTGAGCAGCAATGAACTGAAGAGGGATTGATCAAAAAGACCAGCAGAGGCAGCCGGGTCTGGAGGTGAGGCATCCTCATCGTCCGACAGGAGCAGCCCTGAAGCATCGAATTCTGCAGAATCTGATTCTGAGGAAACCTCCTGGGTGTGGTCAGGCGTTCCTTGAAGGAATTGTTAAGAAGGTGCTGCGGAGGCTTGTTGAGGTTGTTGGCAGACTGATGAGGCCATGAATTGGGCGAAGGCTTGAGTCAACATAGCCTGAAACTGGTCAGGACATACTGCCTGTGGTTCGGGGGGCGGAGCCCTGCTGCAGTAGGCGTAAAGGTAGCTTGCGGCCCCAATAGGGACATGTCCTGGGCCGCACCCCTATGGACTTCTAGGTTTATCCCTGAGTCAAGGGGGTCTACCTGTGTTGCCTCCCTTGGGGGAGACCAGACTCCTGGGGCCAAATTACAAGGGACTGACTGGGGCTCAAATAATGAATTTACAGGTGGAGTAATGTTATACGCTTCACCTGAAGTCCCTTGCCCTGGAAATTTCTCCCTCCAGGGTCTGATGGCACCTCTTGCCCTCCTCAGCTGTCCTAGGCTTTTTAGAGGACTGAGCCCTGGCCTTTGCTGTGACCTTCCCTGCCGCCTCCATAGAGGAGGACTTGTGTTTTTTCCTGGCGGGGGAGTCAGTATTGTCCTATGAAGTCTGGGGAAGGGAATTATCTGCCATGCTAACTGGGCAATTCCCCTTGAAATGTGATTTTTGGATTAGGATTACCCTGGCTATTGCTTCCACTGAAGTCTGAAACCACAGGCCCCTTGACAAATCCAATTTCAGTGTTGTAGCGCTCCCCCCAGTGCTCTAAGTGACCACGAAGAGGCTACCTCCCTCTAGAAATACCAAATTCCGAGGGATAGTGAAGAATCAGATAAGGAGGGGGTAGTGGGGGTAGAGCGGTGATGCAATGCGTCCTTATAGGGATGAGCTTACCCTCCCCAAGTACCAAATTGAATGCCCAGGCAGCAAGGAGAAGATCTCTGGGAGGCACAGCTATCAAAATGGCGGCCATGATTCAAGCATGCCAAAAGTAATGGTCACTGGAGCTCTGAGGCTGGGGAAGACCCTAGCTGGTGAGCCACACCCAAAATGGTGGCCGCGCCTCGCTTGCGATGAGTTTGCTGTCAGTGAAACCACTGAAGCTGCAACGGTAAAAAATGGCGGCCGCGTGATTTTCGCGCCTAAAAATGCCGCCCGAGTTGACTAGAATCTCGCCCTGATCGCTGATCTTCGCTCCGCACCAATCAGTTGTCTGGCGCTCCTGTGGAGCTCCTGTGGAGCCCCCCGATTGTTTTCTCTTACTGTGTCCCAGCCGGGTCAGTGGAGAAATGCAAGGGAGGGCATCTGGAAAAGCCGAGCTGCCTCCCCTCAGCTTAGCCACTGCTGCCTGATCGCTCAGAAGGCTCTAGGGCTCTGAGCTGGCCAGCTGGGTAAGTTGAGCGATTCGGCCATTAATGGCCCTGTAATGTACTAAATTGAAGGAAGAACAGTTTGCGTGAGGTAGAGCAGTCCCAATTTTGGCAGGCAACTGCCTGCAGGAAAGCCCTACCAAGTAGGATTTCCTGGCCAGAAAGGAAAAATGCCAATCAATTTTCCCCTTTTTTTGATTATATTAACTAAAGTTCAGAATGAAAGGAAGGAAAATCCGCAGGGATTTTTACAACTTGCTGGTAATCTGAGTAACCAAATATGTGTCTGTTGAGCAAGAGATTAAGTCTAAAATTGGGGTGCTCTTGCACAGCAGAGGCGTAGCTACACTTCAGACTTAGTCTTATTGGAGCAGGAAGATTAAGACAACCCACTTGTGAATTTTCCATCCAATCATGCTGGAGAATGTACCCAGATAGACACCAAACCTTCACCCCCTTTTTGTATCATCAGTTCAGTTATCCCCAAGGTACATATGAAACATCATGTTAATAGCAATGCTTATTTCAGAAAACATGGAAAATACCACTTCAGCTTTGGTGGTTCAGAAAAACCTGAGATCACCTGGCCTTGACTATGAACTGGGATTACAGAAAGCCCATGACAAGTAGAGAAGTCCTGAATAACCAGCCAGCTACCCTGCAGCAGAATGTAGGTAGATGTCAAGCAGGCACTATGTTTTTTATTAGAAAGCCTTGATCTTGGTCTACATAGTGCACTAAGTCATAAATTAAGGCTTGCACATTACAGGGACTGGCTTTCCCAACTAGTAAAAAACGTATATGGTCGAAGATTCATCCTCACATCCCCTCACTATGCCCTGATGAGAGCTTTTATATGAGTGCCTTCATGAGGTTTGCCTTCCTATCATTCTCCATTCACAGAGGCGGCAACTTATGGCATTTTCAGCAGTTCTAGTTTTAAAGTGGGGCTTCTCCCAGCACAATATTTCCCATGGATCTCATCTTAGATGCAGCAGGAGATATGGTCAGGGGTGGTGGCCTACCTAGAATCTCTTGACCCCGTTAGACTACTACAGACAGATTGCTAGTCACTTCCAGGTCCTCAATGACTATTTTGATTTGGGTGGCAGAAGATGCCAGACCCCTGGTTTCCACAGAGACATCTGCCTACATAAGGCCTGGCCACAACTTTCCAAAATGATCACTTGTTGTCATGCGTTACACAGGTTCCTCATTTATACAAGATGGCCCTCATTAAAATAGTGTTACACCTCAATATATTTCAACCCCATGCTCCAAAGAAGTTGGATTCAAATCAGGAAAGGCTCTGCTAGCTTTGTTTGCTGATTCTGCCGCCAATGAGTGCATTACAGGTTTTCCGTTGTTTTGCTGACAAGCAATTTCAAGTAGTTCAAAATATCCAAATCATTTACACACCTAAAGATTATTGAAAGCATATCCAACATCAAAATTTATAGAAGTGAATTTGGGAGAGGGAAATGTTGCTTGATTTTTTTTTCTCCATTTGTTTAGATCATTCTACTTGAAGGAACAGAAGACAGAAAGAAAATCAAACAGCCCCCATTTCAATTTTAGTTGAAGAGATAAACTGGTTCTTTTTCAAACCATTTTTTCTCTTTCCCCAGGTATGACAATCACCAAAGCTTCTAGTGAAAGAAATAACATTTCTCAAAAACAAGGTATATGTGTACTTTCAAGATAATATTGCCTTTCAGTTCCTATTTCTGAAATTCCCTTGCAATAATCTTTTTTCCAAGGTTGTGTTACTTGTCACTTGTAAAATTGCCAGGTTTTGAGCGCAATTAGAGCTGTATGGCTGCTATTTTTGGAACAATTTAGCTTCTGCAAAACAATCCAATCTTCACATTTATATCACGTCACTGGGTGCCTTATGGAACTTTGGCTGTTTGTCCATGGACCAATCCAAGGATTGTGTTTTCACCTGGATTGTGTTTAATTAAAAAGCTGTCAATACCTTCACTCCCACATCTGGTTACCTTTTCATCCAGAGACTTGAACTCTGTAAGAGAATGAGCCTTTCAAATCCCAAAAAGCCAGCCTGAACTGAGAAAGGACCAGCCAGTGCCTGACCTTATCCAGTTCCCTGTTCCATCTGTCAGTTTCAGCCCAATGGTGAAGACAAAGCAAAATAGGTTAGGAATCCTAATCTATTGTGCTCTGTAGATGAATGAAGACACGAACCAAATATGTATCCCAATCAAAACTAGGTTTCCCCACTCTGGAACTCTCCAAGGGTGTTGGGAAGTCTTCACCTATTGCATAACTATTTGTCATGAAGCTTTCAAGGATACAAAGACCTACCCAGAAAAGAACAGCTCTGCACCTCCAGTGAAGAATTGACAAATTCATTCCTCTAGTCAGGAATTAGTTGGAACTTGATACTTGCTTTAATAGCTTATTTAGAGCAATCTATCTTCCTGGTCTAGCATGGTCCAGATACTGGCTGTGTGTGATTAGCCCAGCATTTCTAGAGGGAACCTATCTGAGGAAGATTGGTAGAAAGTCCAGTAAAGATATTTACCCTTCTTTTCCATCCTGTGCTCTATCTTTCTATCTTTACTGTGGGTTTTTCTTCTTTTACACAGATACAACCACTTTCATGAATGTGATAAATACACGTTTCATTGCTGCAAGAGGCGGGGCTCGAATTTCCCTTAGCTGTTCTTTTGGCTCTCTGGCAAGTTGGTATAAAAAGACTGAGCAGGACAAATACCAGGAGATTATGAACAGTTCCAGAGTCCATGTGACTACAAATACTTCAATGGTAATGATGCAGATCAACAAACTCCAGCACACCGACAATGGTATCTACTATTGTATGATCAAGGACTCATTGAAGCCCTCCTGTGGTACAGAACTCAAAGTCATGGGTAAATCTTTAATCTTCTAAATACTGCCCTCTCTGATGGTATATGCTTGGGTATTGCTATCTATGGAAAATACATCTTGGACAAAAGGCCATACATTCTATTCCCAGAGAAAAATATACCAGCTAATATCTGGGACTCTGTCAGTTCATACTGGCAGCCTGTCTTAGCTAGAGATGCAATGCTATACAAGCTAAGGATATTTAGGTACACACATGCGGTACCTAAACCACATCACAGGATCTGAATACTGTCCTGCATGCAATATAAGACTATTTTCATTTCAAAGATGTAAATGAAAATAATGATCAAAATTGAGTATTTCTGTCAATGTAGTCCTAGGGCAGTGGGGTACACAATCTCTTTATGACAAGCAAAACTGAGAAGTCAGGAGGGCTCCTCTTGTTGTTTTAAAGGTATCAGTACCTATGAGCAAGTGCAGAGTCGGCACAATGTGAAAGATGCTATCATCGTAATCCAGACAATTCTTCTTGTCCTTTTTGTGAGCATGCCTGTCTTCCTAACCCAAGGGAAGGTGAGTGAATGGGACCTTCATAATAGCAGTTCAGTTGGGGTCTTGACTGACCACTAGACTATAACCGTGATCTTTGATATGTTTTTGGCTTCTCCCTGAATAAGGGAGGGGCTTTGGGGCATATTGAAGCACTGCAGGAATATACTTGGGAAAGCAGTGGGACTGCTTTCTCAAAATGGAATCTGGGGAATCTGCAGACTCAACCTCAAGGAAATGCCATTAGTAAGCATCTGAGGGTGCACCTTCTTATTCTCAGACCTTCTCTTCTGTAACAGTGGATTCCAGATAAATAAGCTCAGCAAGAAATAATAATAAAAAAGGACTAGGAATGCTTAACCAATGGGTCTCAAGTGATTATCAGGAAAAAATATCAGGTTAATTGAAGTTTGATTATATATCTCTATGTCATTTTAGAGTGACAGAAAAGATGCCTCTGGGGAAGAACATACTTACGAGGTAAGCTTCAGAGTGAGAGATTCTTGGTCTTAACCACATAAAAATGTATGGATTTTTCTTCATACTCCATACTGGCCTATCGTCTTCAAGCCAGAGGATTGTAGCCAGCCATGGAGAAGTCTCTAATTTATATGCAGAAATGTTCAATTCTCCTCTTCTCCAGGTGGGGCTTGGGAAAAAACCTATGTGGAACTCTGGGGAGCCATCACCAGTTAAAATAAATAATTTTATCTTGGATGGATTATGGATCTAACTCAATACTGTACAAGTCAGCTTCTTTCATTTTTGACTTCTGGTTGAACAGCCCACCAGTCAAGAACTAGACTAGATGGGCTTTTTATTTCATTGAAGAGAATTCCTTTTATGTACCCATAGGACATTTTTAAGCAGTTCTTTTACTGGCATGCAGAAACAACAAAATTGAGTTGGACAGCATATTTCTACCCCCCCCCCCAACAAAGCACTGCTGATACTTTCCATTCATAGGCTGATTCCATTTTTGTTCTTCAACAGGGGCTGACGGTTGAACTAGCTGATACGTATGAAGACATTGGTGCTTACCAAGACAGACCAGAGAAGTGGGATTTGGGGGAACATCCATGTGAAGAATGAAAAGGCTAGCAGCTTGGTCGGCCACAGTTGACTTAACCAAAGGAGCACCAATTCCTGGGGCAACCAGGTTCCACTATAAAAATTCCACTCTAGAGAAGCTTTAAAAATATGCTTATTTCTTGCTTGCGGCTGATCTGCTAGAAACTACTAAAAAGCAGTATTCACACTCTCCAGATTCCCTGGGACAGTTGAGTCAAGGACATACAAATGGGGAGAAGGGAGAAGACAGGCAATTTGAGGCACATCATAAAAATGAAAGCAGAAAGAGCTGAGAAGAGAAATGAATGTGTGAGTAGATGGGCTTTCTGGCTTGAGTTTGCTCTATATTTCCTTCCCCAAATGACACCTTCTTAATTGGTTTCCCACTCTCACTCATAACTTGCTAGGCAGCAAAAGATTGAATCTGATATAACATCACATTACTTCAATTTCTTTAACCCAGGAGACTCCAGATTGTCTGGGAGCAGGACTACTGCTTCCAAAATTCCTTACCAAGATGGCTGTGGTGAAAATATCTGGAATATATTAGCTATAAAACATAATGTTTCCTACTGAGATTTATAGTTTTGCAGTTAAGATTTTTCTTCCTTAGGCTCACGTTAAAAAAATATTTCTAGCATCCTTATGAAAGAATTTCAAATATATTTGTTAAACTTTTCAAAATAATAAAAAGTTTAATATTTTTTAAAATTTTGACAGCATATTACTTCTTTGTTTCGGGAACATGAAAAAAATGTATGCAAGCATTGTGTGTTTTCTAATGTCTACATTACAGAAATCTGAAAATGTAACATTTTTAGCTTAATATGCATAACCAACCTTAGGAATAAACTTTTCCATCTGAACAACAGAATTACTTGTAAATAATTGTCTCTTTGGTCTATAACAGCTCCAGGTGCCCTCCAGCTAGGCTGATTTTAAACGATCAGCATGGCCAATTGCCAAAGCTGGGTGAAGATCACAAGAGTTTATTTCAAACACATCTGGAAAGCACCAGATTGGAAGAATGATGTATAGTAAGAACTGCAGAGATTTTTATTCTTGGGTGAACACATCTGTCAATGGGAAGACCTTCAGAGGTTGCATTTTGAAAACAAAAATATTTTTAAAAAAACACTTTTTGAAGTAGAGACCTAGTCATTTTTGGCAAGTATAGATGCTTTGCTAAAAATCAACCTGGTCAGAGATATTTTGCTCCCAAAATGGAACAACTGTGTTTGCATATATATCTATTTTCAATATAAAAATAGTGAAAGACTTGTTATGATGTCACAACACAAGCTCCACCTTTTGTATTAATGTTGCACAGAGCTTGTGTTGCAATGGTTTGCAAATTTAACCTTTCCTCTGAAACACCTACATGTCTCTTGTTCCCTCATACAGATCAAATGTTTCCAGTGAACGAAAATGCTGCAAGGCATTTTTCCATTGCTTGACCAGAAAAAGTCCATTAGAAAACAATAACTAAACCTGTATTATCCTTTCATACTTGTTAAGGTTACCCTGCCACTAAACACTTTTCACATCAAGAAAGTGGCAATTCGAAGCCACATTCCACATATAAAACACATTCCACATATAAAACAGTTATTATCGAGACACTGCCCCAAATGTCCTTTTAAGGTTGACTCAGCGTTCCATCCTTCCGGGGTAGGTAAAATGAGGACCCAGATTGTTGGGAGCAATGTAAATATATATATACATTGCTTACTGGTGTACACCGCTTAGAGAGTGTTTGCACTTAAAGCGGTATATAAGTCTCATAAATAAAATAAGAAAATAAATAAATAAATAAACAAACTGTTACAGGATGCTCAATTTCATACTGTTTGGGTATGTTTTTCTGCAAATTACTGACTGGAACCATTTGCTTCCTGTTTTTTCACAAAGCATAGCTAAATACCTTCTCAGAGAAGGAAAATGGATGTGAGAAGTGGGGGAGTAGGGTAAGCAGCCTCATGCATAGACAAAACCAGAGAGTAAAAATGTTAATTTTCATAATTCAGTTTCAGTTCTGCCTACTGTGCCTTTTCTACTCTGCTTCTACCTTTGTGTATCTTTCGATTTATAATGAATCTCAAAGCTGGGATTCAAATTCAGCTACATTTAAAAGTTAATGTCACTGTCCCAATGTCCCAGTATCTATAAGAACTTAAGTTGTCCTGAGCCAGCTAGAGCCAGAGCTATCTATGACCAACAGTTACAATAGTCACTGCAAAGGCAGTATCCTGGGGATCTCAGATAGGAAAATGCTATTCCCCCACCTTAGTTTTACAATCCCCTGCAATCCTCAGTTAACTACAGAAGGGACAAGAGACTGGCCAATTGTCATAGCTTTATGGAGTAATAGGAAGACTCAGTGTTATCTCTTCCACTATGACCCAGGTAAGCAACAAGCAGTAGTTCCTCAGCAACTATATTGTGGCCCTGGAGCTTCTTCTGACCACTGCTTTTTAAAACACATGGAAATTGAATTCTGCAACAACAAATAGGAAAAAGATACGGATGGAAGGAAGACCCTCCAAATCATCCAAATCTCATTGCAATCTTCAAGCACCCCCCTCCCCCAATGTGGTTGATCCATGGATAATAAAAGGTTGTACAATGATTTCATTCAGTCAGGTGTCAGGCTCTACCACAACAGCACTTTCTGAAGGTACATTTTTAGAAGCTCCAGCTGAAAGGAACTTAAATGTTCAGCACTGTCCTTTGGTCACTACTTGGGATAAGACCCTTGCATGGTTGCTCCCGCACCCCCACTCCAGGCTTTTACACCAAGGTTGGCTCTAACTGCCACAAGATGTTCTGCTCTCCAAACCTTTAAACTCATGGCTCATTATGAGTATGAGAAGATGGGTCATTTTTTTAACCGTAAGTATGCAGTGTGTCTCCTTCCTCTGGCAGCTTTGTCCAGAAAATCCCTTCTGAGTTATAAGCAAGCGGCCATAGCCAAAGGTCCAGAATGCAGCCACCAGTATAAAGGAGACATGTACTAGACTCATTCAGAGGTAGACTTAGGTTATGTCCCACATGATGAGGCTCTATCAAGCCTCTAAAATAAGGGATATAATTGCACCCTGCTTAACTTGATCTTTAATTTAGTTATTAAAACAATTGTGTTTCATTCTTCATTATTACCTAATATTTTGGGGTAAGAATAACAAATTGTTTAAGAATTATACAAAAAATGAATAAGATATTGGCTTAATCATACCTAAAGCAGACTTATAAAATCAGTGAGATTTAAAATAGTAATTATGATTGTCTGATTAATCGAACTGGTCAATTTGCTAGATTCTACAATAAATTTGCTCAGATTCCTGATGGGTGGAATCCATGACGGCAATTGAAGCAGCATCTTGCCATATTGACTGGGATTCCTTTTGATCTATGAAAAAGGTGCTTTCTAACATGAAACTTTCCTATGACCCTTTTGGTTCCTGCAAGGGGGCACATAAGGGCGTGATGAACTAGATCTATGAAGTTATTACTGCCTGACTTCAGGAGAGGTTATGCAAACAGTCTTGAAGAAGGCTGCTGTGCGCTTCTCCTTAACAGCCATTCTCAGAATCTGGCTGTGTTTAATAACTATAATGGATTAAATATATTGCTTTCTATTTAGTTTCAGGTTCAGGCATGGAACTAAGTGGCAAAGCTCACTCTAGTTCAATGTTTCTTAAACTTTTGTTTCAGAACCTGTTCCAACTTTTAAATATTATGGAGGCCTTTTGCTTGCATGGATTATATTTAACTGTATTAACTATATTAAAAATATTTGTAGGTGGATTGTTAGCTTTTTGACAGGGAGGAATCAACAGGTGAAGCTAAAGAAAATAATCTCTAGTATCTGGGAATTAGCACAGGGGCCTTCAGGACTGTCTGCTCTCTCCATTGCTTTTCTCTATATATACAAAGGACTGCATCTCAAGGGAACCCTCTGTTAAAGTACTAATAACCAAATCTGGCCCTAAAGTTCTGCCTCAGTTTACTTTCCCAATAAGCAACTGAGTCAGAAGATCATTTAAAAGCAGTTTATTAGGGTACCCTAATAAACTGGGATCCCCCTATGAAAAGGGAAAGTCCCAAGACCCATCTTACATTCCTTTTTATAGTTAACACAACAAAGAAAATGCAAGAGGAAAGTTGATCAGACAGGATAAAAGTTACCTCCCCTTTGCATAGGAAATCAGTTATATGTAATCAAACATGTTACATATTTGCATCTCGTAATATCACATGTTCATTAAAATGAAGTCTGATGTCAGAAGGGGTGTAAATTGTAAGAAAAATGGTTGTTTGGAGTTCACCGTGAGACAAACCAGACCCATCTTATCAGGAGATAATCTCCAGCAAATTTAATCTTTTTAGTTTAGGAATGTTAAAAGCTATCAATCAATCCATATAGCAATAGGATAAAAAGTTTTCCAACATAGAAGTCTGTAGTAAGCCTGATTATCATTTTAAAAGAGAGAAAATAACTCAAATTAAAATACAAAATAACTGTTAGTTAACAAGTTAAAAAAATCCATATCATGTGTCCCTCATAATCCTTCCTTTAATACTAAAGGGCAAAGAAAATATGCCCTTTCAGCATCACCAAAAAGAAAATTACAATAAACAAAAGCTTAAGGTGTTTGGAGCAAAAGTATCAGGGACCAAATACATAGAAGTTTTAATTTAGAACAGAAAGAATAGAAACCTTGTGGAAAACATTTCACAAAAGTTGCGGTGTATAGGGCAGGCACTCTGAGTAAGAAGAAACAAATCAAAATCTCTAATATAATAATCAAAACACTAAAAATGATGCCAACTATGTCAAGATAGATAACCAGGAAGGAGTAAATTTTGTTTTTAAAAAATGAAGGAAAAAGAGGCAGCAACACATACTACAGTATAAAAGATAGTCAAAGCTAAAATCTATTTTAAAAAAATCCCAAAAACAAAAACAAAAAACCCTGACTCTGGTAATAGGCATAACAATTAGAAGTATTTGCTGCACAAATATCTTCTATGTTTGCCCATAAATAATCAAGAGTCATGTAATTCCAAACAGCAATTAGAGACACAGAGCAGACTTTAGTTGGTATTATCCTAAAGGCATTGACTGTAATTCGGGCATAGATGACAAGCAATGCAGAAATAAAGAGGAGGGCAATGCCAACTGAATAACCCCAAACCAGGAAAATACCATTTATAAAGTAACATTGTCTAAGCAGCAGGCCCACACATCCAAAATTGACCATTCTTTGGAGTTTTTCTATTTTTTCAACATAGCAGAGATGTTAAAAGTCTAATTTCAGTATGTCATATTCCTGACAAAAATGACTGTTATGTGGGGGGGGGGGCATCCGATCTACACAAGAAGTATAGGTCTCCATGAGTCATCCTAGTGACTGAGAAAAAAGATGTATCAAGAAAAAATGGGGCCATGAAGAGATAAGCAATTCCCAACAAAAAGCGATGCCCTCCGTAGGTGGTGTACACACTCAGAAATCTGTCGGCTTTAAATATACAACAAGGTTGAGGATATATTAATTAAGAAAAATAACCTGCAAAGTCAGTAGGTGATCTTGGTATAATATTAGCCATTTTGTTTAGCGTGTTCCATGCTGTGCAGTTCTTCTATTCTATGAAGCAAGAAATCGTTTTGTAGAAAGAAAATGTAAATGCAAGGGCAATTGTCCCCACAAATTACTACTCTCACAGTCTGCTATGCCCAGTCTTCAACAAGTATTCCCTGGAGGTTCACTTAATGGGGTTTCTCTAAGATGTAGTTTGCCTATAAATATATTTTAAATACATGGAACATCAACAATAAACTGGCAGACCTTTTCTCAAGCCCCTTCCTGGCAAAAACGGAGCCAAAGAATGAGGCACGCTCACTTTGGAAGCTTGTTTTCGCCAGGAAGGGGCTTGAGAAAAGGCTTTTTCCAGCGAAAACAAGCCGAAGAGTGAGGCACGCTTGCTCCAGAGGCTTGTTTTCTCCAAGAAGGGGCTTGAGAAAAAATTAGATTTTTTTGCAGAAAACTCGCACAATATTATAGCACCCAGGAGCTTCCACTGTCAGCACGAAACGCATTTCCAAGCCAACTCTCCTCTCCCTCAAAGGGAAAGAAACCACAGCAGAGAGGAGACAGGTTTTGCAAGGTAAGTGAGTCCTGCGCAGCAGAAAGGGAGGGGGAAGCATGAATTATCTTAGTGGGTCGGGGAGTCCTTGGGGGCCTGTTTCATCACTAGGCCTTCCCTACCCACTAAGATAATTCATGCTTCCCCCTCCCTTTCTGCTGCGCAGGACTCACTTACCTTTAACAGCTACGTGTGTCTTAATGAGCAAGGGAGTGATCTCGTACAAGATTCACTCCCATGAGTTTTGAGTTACACGTGGAATGTGCAGGCTCCATTACACTCATATCTCAAGGACTACCTGTAGCCACATACACACAAATCAATACCCAAATGTCCACCATCCCACTGTTCCAGTAAGATAATATAAAATCAGTCCTAGGATAAAGTCAATCAGTTACATGGCAGTGTAGCAATGCTAATCTTATTGTAGCTGGAATCATGATCAGCCTGTTCAGCACCTGTAGTGATCAGCAGGAAAAGCGTAACCACATCCATTGCTGTATAGTTTTCAGTAATGTGGAGAACTCTTCCCAAAGTGGATGTAGTTTCTCTTGACAAGTCTACTGAATCAAAAGATAATCATTAGTCATTACTTCCAGGGAGCAAGGGTTCTATTAGCATTCACCATATATCTATTGATATTTAGTGTCCACTCAATTTCCATATTGATATTTTCTGTTCCGTTGTTGTACCTCTCAGTTGTGTCCACCAGCAGAAAAACAGGTTCTTTCTTCCACACATGGGATATGTAAACCTTCTCCTCCGGGGGTTCCACTTGCATAGACTAGGTGAGATGCACAGCTTCCCTTGCTTGAATGACCTGCAGTTGGACAGGAGACAAATCAGCTGTTAAAAAAAGACTTACAAAAAATAATGGATGCTGTAACTGACTTGGGCTGTTCGCAGCCTCTGAATCTAATGAGACATCTGGACATCAACCTCTTGCCACATGTGCCAGAGAAGTCACAGGCACAGTGAGTGCATGTCATAGTTCACCAGAACCTGAAGTGTCCACCTTTCTTTTACCTTGTTGGTAAAATACTGGTAAATGGTTGAATGTCAAAGTTCAAACAGATTAAAAATATGAAGTCACAATGCTAGGGATGAAAAAAAATCAAAACCTAGTTGAACTCAACTAGCCATAATTGGCCTTTGAATCGTGCAATGTAAGATAAAACTGCTAGGCAGGGTTTTCCTCTCCTACTTAGGAAGACAAATCAGGAGAGATTGGCATATTAGAATAAATGCAGAGCAGGCCCCCATACTGTGATAGGACTACAGTATAAAAATTAATATAAAACTATTGCTTTCAGAGAACTAAAACAGTCTCAATGCATAAAACAGGAGGAAAATTGCCAGAACATTTTCCTGAAAAATTAAACTGGGACTTCTGCCCTGATATAACTTATGCTAGGGAAATCATGTTGCTAGCTACTGCCTAGGTGGTGTCAGCAGTTTTTCTTTGACAACAGATACAGAAGTGGCTTGCCAATACCCCCCTCCTAGGGCTGAGGGAGAAAAAAATGACCAATCCAAAATCACGAAGCTGGCCCTCATGGCCAAAGCAGGATTTGAACTAACAGTTTTCCAACTTCGTAGCCTGTGGCCATAACCATAAAACCAAATTGGTTCTCTATAAAGGTTTCCTTTCCCCAAAAAAACAAAAATACCCCTCCCCTTTCCTACTCAGATGCAATTACAAAGGCAGAATAAGATTTGCATTACCTTGTTCTATCCAACAGTTAATCTTAACTATGTCCCTTGGGTCTTTGGAAGGAAGGAAGGAAGGAAGGAAGGAAGGAAGGAAGGAGGGAGGGAGGGAGGGAGGGAGGGAGGGAGGGAGGGAGGGAGGGAGGAATTACCAAAGTGTTACCAAAGTGTAGGAATAATTTCCAACATAATCACCCACAAACATAATGCAGATTCTTCTTAATGTAACAAAGAGAGACTAAAAAATAATATTCATTACAAGTGGGACAATTGCTAACAAAGTCTTTGATTTCGCCGTGCATATTAGGTCAGTAAAGAGTATCACAAGATTGTCTGTAGCATGTCTCACCCACTTGAATGTATGCGCAATAACATTTTTGCTCTCTGGACTTTGACACTATAACTCTTGATATAAGATGCCATTTTGTACACTGATCTCATCTCTGAAGGACCAATATTCCCTCACAATTTCAGGAACTGCTTCCTTCTCATCTGGCCACCCACTCAGAAAGATAGCCTTCAGTGCTTGTAAAGCTGCATCAGGGTTGTGCGCTGCTTGAGCTGATGTAGCTGCTGATTTTTGACGTTAAGATTGTCTGCTTGATTGACTTCAGCAAAGAAAGTCTGTTCCTAATGCAACCAACAAACTGAATGATGCTCATGCTCTCCTGCAGGTGTCACCTGATCTGATGTAGCCCTGCTCAGGATATCACTGTATACATTTCATGTTCTGGCTTGTAGACAACGTTGAGATTGTAATGCTGCAATGTAGGCATCATGCTCTGCAAATGCTTCGGAGCACACAAAGGGGGCTTCTTGAATATAGCTATGGGCGGCTTGTGATCAGTTTCAGCTGTGATTGTATCCCAGCCATAAAGATAATGATGGAAATGCTGACAGTCAAATACAATACTTAAACATTCCTTTTTGATTTTAGCATAATTTAGCTTTAGTAATTTAGATGAAAGAGCCCTGGACACATATGCAAGTGGCTGACCTTCTTGCAATAAGCAACATGCTAGGCCATTTTTGCTTGAATCACTTTGAATTGTAACAGGCTTTGTGACGTTATAGTATTTCAACATGGGCAGCAATGACCAAGCATTTTATCTCCTTTACTGCCTGATCATGCTTGGGAAGCCAGGGCCAAACTGCATCTTTGTTCAGCAGATGTCTCAATGGCTGACACACTTCAGACAGGTGTGGCAGGACTTTTGCTAAGTATATGACAAAACCAATAAATCTCTGCATCAATTTGGCATTGGCAGGTGGTGGCATGCCCACAATGGCTCTTATCTTATTCCGGGTCAGCTTTTAATTCTTGTGAGGACAGAATATGTCCATGGAAACGGATTTCTTGCACCCCGAACTGCTATTTCTTTGCATTGGGTCTCTGCATCACCTGCCTACAATGGTCTGGAAATGCTATTAGCTTCTCATCATAGTCATTCTCAGCTCCTTCATCTGTATCATCACAGCTAGCTATGAGAATGTCATCACCTATTGCAGGGGTAGGCAACCTTGGCTCTTTTATGACTCGTGGACTTCAACTCCCAGAATTCCTGAGCCAGCCATGCTAAGGGAAAAGGGAGAGGTTTCCAAGCTGAGCCATTCTGGCTCAGGAATTCTGGGAGTTGAAGTTCACGAGACATAAAAAAGCCAAGGTTGCCTACCCCTGACCTATTGGCTCTATTCCACAGAGCCCACTCAAAAGTTCATGTTGCTTTTGTTGATACATATCTGGTGCTACAGAGACTCCAAAGGGTAGTTTAAGCTGTCTCTTTCTGCCCCAAGGAGTCCAGAATGTGGTCATGTAGCTATTTTTTAAATCCAGTTTGCACTGTGAAAAGGGGCATTGTCTTACCTGAAGGCCTTTTCTCAGTATGATGATGTAGAATCCACCGATGGGTAATCTCAGCCTTCCTGATCAGATGAGACTAAGTCAGAACTTTAGCCACGCCTCCCTCTGGGTGTGTCCTCCCAGTTATTGACGAGGTGAAGCATCGTGACGAAGTCTGATGCAATGGCTCCAAATACTATGACACCTGCCTAGACTGCAGTGAAGGGAGGGTGTGGATTCTACATCATCATGCTGAGAAAAGGCGTTCAGGTAAGACAATGCCCCTTCTCCAGCATGATGAATGTAGAATCCACCGGTGGGACATACCAAAGCCGCTCATGTCCCTACGGGGGGGGGGAGTCTAGGCTTGTGTCCCCTGAGAAGAAACTACTTCTACCAAACACGGCATCTGCCGCTGCAAACCTATCAATCTTGTAGTGTCGTACAAACGATGAAGGGGAGGACCAAGTCGCTGCCCTACAGATCTCCTCCACAGATGCCTGGGTAGACCGGGCTGCTGACGCAGCCGCACTGCCCGTGGAGTGAGCAGTGATGTGTGTAGGAACTGGGAGAGACTGTAAGAGATAGGCTCGAGAAATGCATGCTCTGATCCATCTACCAATGGTCGTAGACCTTCTGACCCATGGAAGAGGGCTGGAAAGACACGAACAAAGCCTCCAACTTACGAAAAACCAAAGTCCGCTTAACATAATGGCACAGAGCCCTGCGCACATCTAATTTGTGCCACTGTCTCTCCAGATGATGTGATGGGTTAGGACAAAAGTCTGGAAGAATAAGATCCTGGGACCTATGGAACCAGGTATTGACTTTTGGAAAAAAGGAAGGATCCAACCGCAGGACCACCCTATCCTCGAAAAAAGTACACAAGTCGCTCCTGACTGAGAGCGCAGCCAGTTCTGAAATCCATCCAGCCGATGTGATAGCTACTAAGAAAGCCACTTTGAGAGAAAGAAAATGAAGTGAACAAGACTTGATGGGCTCGAACGGTGGGGAAGTCAGAGCTTGCAGCACCCTAGGTAAATCCCACAAGGGATAACGATGCACCGCAGGGAGTCTAGCGTTGACCGCCCCTTTTAGAAAGGCACTAACTGCCAGGTGTTGCGATAATGGGACCAGGTTGTCACAGGTAAGGACCGTTGATAAGGCCACAACCTGCCTGCGGATGGTGCTAGGTGATAAGCCCTTATTCATACCCTCCAAAACATATTCCAAGATGTTGGGAATGGTGACCGACAACGGTCTGAGATGCTGCTGGGTGCACCACGTGCAAAAAATTTTCCACGTGGTGTCATAAATCCTATTAGTCGAGGGACGCCTTGAGGCTTGGATCATTGAGATCACCCCGGATGAATACGATTTTCTAGCTAGACTCTCCCGCTCAAGTGCCAAGTGGCCAGCTGGAGCCACTATGGATCTGGACATTGAACATTCCCTTGACTGAGAGCAACTCGGTCCGGGGGAATACTCCACAGTGGCGAGAGCGACAGATCCACAAGGTCAGCAAACCATGGATGCCTTGGCCAACGTGGAGCAATTAATATTATCTCTGCCCATTCCTAAATCAGTTTGCGGATGGTTGCTTGTATCAACGGAAGGGGAGGGAAAGCATAAAGCAGTCCCCCTGGCCACTCGCAGCAGAGAGCGTCTGTGCCTTCGGCCCCCTGTGATGGGAACCTGGTGAAGAACCTGGGGAGTTGGGAGTTTATCGGAGAGGCAAAGAGATCCAATTGTGGGTGACCAAATCTGCCCGAGATCTCCCTGAACAGCGCCAAGTCCAGACGTCACTCCGAGTGGTCGACCGTGACCCTGCTCAGGGAGTCTGCTTGTTGATTTGCCTCTCTCAATATGTGTTCCACTCTGATGAAGCCCAGATTGGACTCCGCCCACAATCCCAGATCCAGAGCCTCCAGCATGAGCGACCATGACCAGGTCCCTCCCTGCTTGTTGACATGTGCTTTGGCTGCCACGTTGTCCGTCAGAATCAGGACGTGTTGTCCCGCCACTAGGGAGGAAAATTGACGAAGTGCCAAATGTATGGCTCTGAGTTCTAGCCAATTTATGTTGTGAGTTAAATCTGAATGGGACCACTGACCCTGCGCTAAGTGAGTCTGGAGATGGGCGCCCCAACCGAACAGACTGGCGTCTGTGGTCAGAGTAAGTCTGTGAGGCTCTTTGAAGATGGTTCCCCTGGTCATTCTGATGAAGCCCACCACCGGAGATATAATAGGGTGTGGTGTGGAACCCTCACC